TTCGCGTCGCAGTCGCAGACATCGATAGATTTTGTTTTTTTATTATATTTGTATTCAATTGTTTATTGGACTTTTTTATTGTAATTTTTTATTATTTATCATTCAATACTTACTTTATTTCATTAATTTGGTTGGATTTATTTTAATTTATTTTATTAAATATGTTGGACTTTTTGTTAATATATTTTGGTTAATTTTGTTTATTACCATTTAATATCATTTATTGTAATTTTTTATCATTTATCATTTAATACTTATTGTAAGTTTGTTGTATTTAAAATTATATTCAAATACCAAATTGTTATTGTTTTGATAAAATTTAATAATTGTGTTCGATAACTTTCTTCAGTTTGTCACTTATTGTAAGATCAAATGACATTAACTTGAAGTAAATGCAAATTAAAGTACAAGAATTCTTATTTGATAAACAACTACATCAGTTCCTCATCAATTGTTTCATGATGACAGCAGAAGTGGACGGTTTTTCTAGTGTGTCTTGGGTTTCTACAATGCCCACATCTTCTATCTTGTCTAGATCTTTCTCGAATATCCATATCACAATGAATTCGATTGGATTTTGGATGACCACGTTCCCTAAATAAAGTTGGATTTGGTACAATAGGAAGTTAATCTTGAACCTCATCAGGGTCTTTGTCATTACTTATAGGGGGAACTCAAATTCGTATACCATAAAAACTTCAGATAGTAGGTATACGAGATCCACAAAATAGTTATAATCTTGACGTGTATGCGAGCAAACTGCTATCACATGAGAGCATGGATACTTCAGAGATTGAAAAAACCCGCAGTCGCACATTTTGTTCCGTAGATTTACTCTTAATGACACAACTTCTATCCCGTGAAGAGGTCGAGACAACTATGTGACACGAAACATTTCATGTCTTCTAGAGAAGCTTGTTACAAACATTCCACTTGATGCAACAAATTTTTTTGTAGATCTACAACTAATCTAGGGTGATAGACATTACCGACTTGCATCCAGGTTTGAGCTTGTCCCCCCAGCTTCGCAAAAAGTGCCCCAAACAAAAATATGTAGTTTTTACCAAAGCCGCTACAGGTAAGTGACGTGCACCCTTTAAGGTTGAATTGATTGCCTCAACCAAGTTGGTCGTCATGTGTCCATATCGATATCCACCATCATATGCGTTCGTCTATATTTCTTTATCGATGAGGCTGATATAATCGTATCCTTCCTCGTTTTTCACCTGCAAATCTTGAAGCATTGATTCAAATGTTTGAGGAAGTAGTTCGTAACCTGATCAAAAAAATGTATAACTTATTAACTTGTTTTCTTTGCAAAATTAAAATGATCGAAAGAAAACAAACTACATCAGTTTCACTTACCCATGCGCACAATTAATTTACGCTCATCATTCTTGCACATAAGTTTTGGAGGAAAAAAGGCCAGGAATCTGTATATTCTCCTTCAACAAGAGCAAAAGCAACTGGAAGAATGTTGCGATTTTCATCTTAGACAACTACCAATAATAATACTTTCTTGTATTTTTCATACAAGAAAGTCTCATTGATCTGGACCACAGGCTTGCAATATTTGACAACATTAACGTATTGTGGGTAAGTCCAAAAAACCCGGTAGAATTGGCATCGATCGCGAAGAACTCGATCATTATGGTATGCATAGGAGGTTTCGAAGTCCACAATTATCCCAAGATTCAACCTCCGCACCAGCCTAAACCAACCTGGAAGTTCGTTGTAAGATGCATCCCATTCGCCATTAAGTTTGACAATGACATTTTGTTTTGCCAACCAAGCTTTTTTATAGGAGATAGTGTACCCATACTGCGATTGTATAGCTGAAATCAACATAGCAACAGCTATATGAGAGCTTGCTTTTACCATGGGCATGATGGCTTGGCATATCACTTCAGAGTCCAAGCTGGGATGATCTTGGTTGACCCCTCCAGCACAATATATGTGAGGACCGTTGTATACTGTTATTTCTCATCTTTTGTTTTTCCTCTTCCTCTTCGATACGCGAACCATCCACTTGCATCCATTTTCGCGTAGGACACAGTAGCATACATATTTTTCTATCGTGGAGCAGCTGACTCTCGATTGAACATAATTACAAATATTGTAATTTTTTATAGCCATCATCGCTTCTTCTTTGCTTGAAATCTCCATGCCTAAAAATAACTCACCATTATTTATTGATGAGTAATACCCATAGTTACCGAGATGAGGCATATCCGCAAATTTTGGCCCGTACATTGCACCATAATCAGCTTCATACATGTGTGCTGGAAGGTCAATTTGTGTCATGTTTAATGAAACTTCATCTATATTATCATCATTATCGGAGTTGAATTGCGGTGATTCTGGGCGAATGAATAGTCCAGTCTCAGCACCATCCACACCAGGCTCACGAAGCAGATCTTCTGGTGGAGATGATGGTTCCTCCATACTCTCCACATTTAGGTCGAAGAACCTACTACTTGCACGTCTTCCCCTTGACCTAGAAGGCATATCTACATTGAGATCGAAAAAGCCGCAATGGAATGCCTCCCCTTAGAGCTTGAAGCCATCGTGTCAAATGGAAATTGCACAGATTGTTGCGTCGATGACATCTCCATATTAAGGTCAAAGAAATTTGCAGATGAATGCATTCCCCTTGAACTGGACGCGATGTTGCCATACGGATTATTCGTGGACCCATATAAGTACATATCATAAGGAGTTGCGGATGAATGTCTCCCCATTGAAGTTGATGTGACGGCACCATGATGCGAATTTCCCATTATGACGTTAAAATCATTACACATTACTGTAGTCGGGCTGTCAACTTGATCAACTTGTTCAACCAGCCTATAGTGGAGCTTAATGACTGACCCCGAACAACACGCACTTAAACAAACTTTGCATATATCTCAATATCGCAGTCTGAATAATTACTTTGAGAATCAACCATCATTTCAACATCATTATTGTTCGATAGTTTGAACGTTGTATAAGTTAATGGCAACAATGATGTTGGAAATCTGTACTGCAACGACGACATTCTTCTACTACTTCCAACATGAACCTTTCTCGAAATCTTCGTTATCAGCTCCTCAAGAGTTATGTTTCTCTTGAATGATATTTTAACTCATTTGTTATGAAAACAACGACGGTTTTATCTTCTCGAATTTCTCCATCATAATAAACAATACCTGAAAGTCGCGCCATTCTTAGAGTTTAAAAGTGCGACAATATTATATCTGCAAAAAATCAACTGAAATAAACCTGATTAAATAAATAATATATGAACGAAAATATAACACAATAAAATTTTACACATAAACGTAAATAATTTTTACATAATAAAAAAATATTATAACAAAATTACCTTATAACGAAAGATCGAACGAACTTCTGAATCAAATATAAGAGGATTGTCGGGTGTTATTTACTGGTTGAAAGGATTGTTGTATTAATTTCTCGGTTGAAAAGGAATTGTGAGAGAGTTTACGGAGAGATGACTATTTATAGCCGAGAGAGGATGCTTTAAAGCCGAGAAGTTTGGGTAAAGTATGCAAGGTGCGGTCCCTGCACCGTGCCTTGCATTATGCATGTCTGATAATTGAGTATGTGATAATTGAAAAGCGCGGCCCCTACCCCGCGCTATATCCCTACGTGGCGTAAGGCGCCCCCTAGAGGCCGCGCTTTAGACACATGTGTCCATGTCATCATAAGGAACGCTACAGGGGGCGCGTCTTAGCCCACGTTGCGCCAGATTAGCGTAAAGCGCGCTTCAGGGGGTGCACCTTACTGCAAAAGGTGTTAGATCGAGAAAAATAGTCTGAACGGTGTCTGACATGTAAAAAAAGCAATGGGTGATATATCAGGACAAACACCAAATAGTAATGAAATAATAATTTGAGTAGTAAAATAAAAAAATGATTTTAAAAAAGTTTATAATAAATTTAAACTTAAATTATGTAGTTATTCATCCAACTATTTGCATAATTTTATTTTAGTCACTCAACTATATTTAAATCATATCAAATGTTACTTTCTAGTTTTATTTTGGTCACCATCGTTAAAAAATTAACAATGATACTTACGTGTTATCATAAGTTAATCTCATGTCATCTTTAAAAAAGAAATGTCACGACAATAGTTTTCTTAATGTTCTAACAGTGAGTGACCAAAATAAAACTAAAATATAACATTAGATATAATTTTTAAAAAATAGTTTGTTGACAAAAATAAAATCACTTTAATAGTTGAATCGCTAAACATACCCTAAGAGTGTGTTTGGTTGGGGGAATGTGAGATTCCCATGGGAATGGAATCCACATTCCCCCATTTGGTTGGCCGGGAATGTCATTCCCGGTAATCTTACATTACCAATAGTGGATTTTTTTTGGTATATTACCGGGAATGTCAATATCTCCCTTTCCTTAGGTATTGTTGGATTACTAGCGTTTTAGACTAAAATACCCTTAAAAAAATTTATTTAAAAAATATCCTTAATTGTCATTGAATAATAAAAAGTCTACGAATGTTAAATTACAAATTATCCTTAAATTATTTTAGATTTACAAAAAAAAATCTATAATTAAAATTTTATATGAAGTTCAGTGGTTAAAATAAAATTTTACCCTTTCATTAAACCTTATATTTTCAATTTTGTAAAAAATTATATAAATTTTATGAATTTAAATTTTTTAAAGAAATATATAAATATTTTTCAACTGGTTAAAAAAACAAATATAATAAGGACAATTTGGTCAAATATACATTCTAATAATCTTTTATTACTTTAACCAAACACGGTAATCTTACATTCCTGCTAAACCAACCAAACACAAAATATAACATTCTCAATAATCATATTCTCGTAATCTTTTATTCTCATTGATAATCTTACATTCCGTGAACCAAACGCACCTTAAAATTAAAAATTAAAATCTAAGAGTGGCAAATTGTAATTTAGGAGCACACCGCCGCTCCCTAATTGATTTAAGAAGGATTCATGCTTGGGTTTTAGGGCTTTATTTGTGTGGTTTATTTCTTATACTTCCGTCTCTGAAAAAAAATGGCTGCCCAGACCGACAAAGAGATCAAAGAGATCGAAGAGATCCTCGCCGCTCATCTCGAACAACAAAAAATGGATGTAACCTTTTATTTTCCACCCTTTCATTTTGATTTCTTCCGTTTTTTATTATTGATTTTCGTTTTCTCTCCTTTTGGGGTTCACAGTCCGAGCAACCTGTAGTTGAAGATGAGGACAACGAAGAAGACGGCGAAGAGGATGACGACAATGATGAAGATGATGCCGACTGTAAATTTTCCTATCCAGTGATATCTTGTTCATTTGTTAAAAAATTTGATTTGTAGTGAAAATATATGTATAACATTTGGTTAATTCTGTTACTTCATTGTTATTAATTCAATTTGATATATGTAAGCAAATTTCAGATGCTTAGATAGCTAGCTGGATCAGTGGTCACTGGCTTCGCAACTTGATTTTTGATTATGCCCAACTTCACTTACTCGTCAGTTGATCTCGAGGATTTCAACTAGGGTTTAGCTCAATTCTTGTTCAGTATTTGGTTTTAGCTTTTTGAATCGTGAATTTTGCTCCAGCTTCAGATGAAGCTTTTACTGATTTAATTTGGATCGGATCAATTACATTCCTGCATTTGGACCATATTATATTAGTGCTACCTGTTAAAACTATGTGGAACACAGTTCAAAAAAAACCAGAAATAAAAGGAGAGAAAGTAAAGGGAAAAACAGAATGTAGGCTAATAGAATGCTTAGCCTTGATCCGAAGATCTATTAATATAGCCACGCTGATTGCTGAGTTACCACTGTGAGTTTAACCCAATATACAGCTGGCTTAACCACCTAACAACCTTAACAGAAAGCAGTTATAAAATGCAGCAACAAACCAATCCAGTTGGCACACCTTCCTGCTGAAACTTACTCTCCAACACTACCTATATGAATCATAACCCGTAGAACTGCATGTCTAGTTGTCCCCTCCTTGATTTTTACCCATGGGTTGATACAAAATGAGCTCTGTGGTAGTTTCTTTAATTGTTTTTTTTATGACTTTAGATATTGTCTCTTGTCCGTCGATGACAAAATATTGAATTGTCAATGCATAAACTTCTTAGTCTATTCTTTGTATACCACATAGCGATTTCATTTGTACCATCTACATCTGTTATTTACCAATTAATGCAATGCATGTTCCGTGGATGGCTGATAAAATTTTGAAAAGCATGTTAATGGAGAACTTTTCTTTATATAAATGAGTGATGCATTGTTCGGAGGTTCATTTATTTGGTCCTATTGTGTGTACTGTCAGGCCATCTTGATGGAGAAGGAACTGGTAGGTCAAAGCAAAGCAGAAGCGAAAAGAAGAGTCGCAAAGCTATGTTGAAGCTCGGGATGAAACCAATTCCAGGTGTTAGCCGAGTCACCGTCAAGAAGAGCAAAAATGTCAGTCCCCTATCCATATTGTTAAACCGTTCATTACTTCCCTGCCTCGTATGATGATAATGATTTTACCGTTGAATTCAGGTTTATTTATCATTCAAAGCCGGATGTCTTCAAGAGCCCCACGTCAGATACCTATGTTATCTTTGGAGAGGCTAAGATTGAGGACTTGAGCTCACAATTGCAGTCTCAGGCCGCCGAGCAATTTAAGGCACCTGATCTCAGCCACGTGGTATCTAAAAGAGTCGCAAAGCTATGTTGAAGCTCGGGATGAAACCAATTCCAGGTGTTAGCCGAGTCACCGTCAAGAAGAGCAAAAATGTCAGTCCCCTATCCATATTGTTAAACCGTTCATTACTTCCCTGCCTCGTATGATGATAACTGATTTTACCGTTTGAATTCAGGTCTTATTTATCATTTCAAAGCCGGATGTCTTCAAGAGCCCCACGTCAGATACCTATGTTATCTTTGGAGAGGCTAAGATTGAGGACTTGAGCTCACAATTGCAGTCTCAGGCCGCCGAGCAATTTAAGGCACCTGATCTCAGCCACGTGGTATCTAAACCTGAGTTGTCATCAGGCTTGGCTCAGGACGACGAAGAAGTTGATGAAACGGGAGTTGAGCCGAAGGACATTGAGTTGGTGATGACACAAGCGGGAGTCTCCAGGTCGCAGGCTGTCAAGGCGCTCAAGGCTGCCGATGGGGATATTGTTTCAGCCATAATGGAGCTAACAACGTAAGAAGGGTGTTTGCTAGTGACGTGATGGATTAGGACACTAGTTTATTTGGTTTCTGGTAGTTGGACATCTTATTTTCTTTCCTTCCAAATTTTTCCTCATTATTTTTTCGAATGTTATCTTTTCTTGTTATTTTTGTCGTAAAAACAATATGCATGGAGTGAATCTTTGATACATCGTGTTCTTTTATTTAGTTTGTCATCGTTTGAGAAAAAGATTATTATGAACATTCTTTTGACAAGATATTTAATTATTTTCATCCTTGAAACCCTTTCAGATTTAGATCTTAAAACATGGATTTAAATTTTAAAAGTGATTCAAATATAATAATAAAACGTGTCAATTTTAGGGTAAATTACCCAAAATTGAAAAGAAGTCGATGTCTCAAATCGGGCGAAACACGAGCACTTCCCAAACTCAAATAATTCTTACAATAAAACTTCTCATCTCTCTTTCGACAGGTAAATCGTCTCTTGTCTTTGTTTTCATTTGAAATTCAGTAATTTCTTCTTCTTCTTCTTTTTATGCAACATAACCCTAATCTCCTAGTGTATCTATTTATTTCCATTATTTTTGGTGTTTTTCCCCTTGCATATAGAAGTCGTGAGTAAATTAGTATCTCCTGGTCCAGAAAAAAGGGGATTCTTTTTGTTCTAAAAGGTTTTTTTTTTGGTGTAATTTGGTTTCATGTAGGCCATCGTTTTGTGCATAAACAAGTAAAAAGAGAGAAAAATGAAGTGGGTATTTCTTGGCTTTGAATTTTGTGTAATTTTAGTTCACATTGGAACTTTGGTTTGTGCATAAACTAGTTTAGGAGAATAAAACTGAAGTGGGTATCAGTGGCTTTTGTGAAAGAAAAAAAGGGAGAGAGTTTTGGTTGAAAAAGCTTCAGTTTTTTTTTTTTTGTAATGGAAGGAGCGGGTATAAACACTGTTCTACCAAATTTAGGGGATAAATCTAAAGTTTTGGATGTAAAACTGTTGCGTATTTTGGTTCCTCAGTTCCCGACGGGTCTAACAGTCTGCCTTTCGTTTGTGCTCCTCCTGATGGCCCCCTTTTGTCGGGTTTAATCAAAATGTGCCATTTTCCTCCTTTAGCAGACCACAAGGATCCCATTCAATGCCTGGTTTAATCAAAATGAGTTCTATCCTGCTGTGCCGATTCGATCATTTAGAGGGGAACCACCAGCTTCTAATGGCCAAAATGTGCATGAACATAAGTCACCTGGGTCAAGTTCCGTTAAAAAGAAATCAAAGAAAATGAAGTTTTTGAGTTTGCATTCACCACTCCTGCTGATTTCAATCCTGGAATTAGTTTATCCGAACGTGATGACGGGAATAGGGAATTGGTTGAAAATGTGCTTTGAAGGTTTGATGCACTTAGGAGAAAGCTTAGGCAAATGGAAGACAACATCGAACCACGTTCTGGGATTATTAAACGCTCGGTGCTTAAAGCTAGCAACATAATGATGAGCAAAGGAGTGCAGACTAATGCGAGGAAGAGAATCGGAGTCGTTCCTGGTGTTTAAATTGGGGACATTTTATTCTTCTTATTGGAATTGTGCTTAGTGGGGTTGCATGCTCAGTGAATGGCTGGAATTGACCCCATGCATATGAAGGGTGATTTAGAGGGAGAACGAGTGGCTGTAAGCATCGTTTCATCTGGAGGGTATGATGATGATGTCAAAGATCCCCATGTTTTGGTATAATCCGGTCATGGTGGGAATGCCAGTGGTGATAACGAAGCATCCGATCAGAATCTCGTGAGGGGCAATCCTGCACTGGAAAGGAGCTTGCACCGATCCAATGAAGAGTCATTCAAGGTTTTCAGGATTCTTACCACCAAACGTCGAAGATTTATGTATATGATGGCCTTTACAAGGTCCAAGAGTCATGGACGGAGAAAGGGGAATCAGGTTGTAATATGTTCAAGTATAAACTAGTTAGGATCCCCGGGTAAAAAAACACTTCTGCAACTTGGAAATTGATTCAGAAATGGAATGGAGGTCTGTCTTCAAGGGGTGAACTTATACTTCCTGACCTCACTTCCGGTGCGGAAAGCATACATGTTTCACTTGTGATGAGGTTGATGATGAAAAGGGCCCCACTCATTTCACTTATTTATCTACTATCAAATACTCGAAATCATTCAAGCTATTGTAACCTTCTTTTGATTGCGTTTGTCATGAAACTTGCCTAGCCGGAAATTCATGCTGCTGCTGCTGCTGCTGCATTAAAATGAATGGAGGCGATTTACCTTGAACAGCCTACGGGATTCTAGTGTGTCAAAAATCAATGATATATGAATCTGGCTCCATGTGTGCCTGCTTCCTAACTGCAAAAATAGGGTTACACAGACTGGCTTTAAAGTTCGCTTCGAAGTTTTTAAGATGAAAAATACGGGTTGGGGTCTTTGATCATGGGACCCTACTCGCGTAGGTACATTCATTTGTGAATATGCATATGAAGTTATTGACGAAATTAACACAAGACAGGACGGGAGAGATGGTGAAAGCAATGAGTATGTTTTCCATACAAATCGAGTCTATGACCCCTTCAAGTGGAATTACGAAACTGAGTTAGTAGGAGAGGAAAGTTCCGACACTGCCGAAGATTATGATATCCCATCTCCTCTAACCATAAGTTCGAAGAACAGTGGAAATGTAGCTCGGTTTATGAACCATAGTTGTTATTCAAATGTTTTCTGGCAGCCGATCATTTATGAACATAACAATGAAGTTCTCCATATTGCTTTCTTTGCTAAGAGACATATCCCTCCGATGGATGCGAAAGTAACGAAGCGGATTATGGAAAAAAGAAATGCTTATGCGGATCGCCAAAATGCCGAGGTTATTTTTATTGAGGACCAACAAAACTTTTGAGAATCACTCATCTTTTACTAATCAAGTAACTCCATGTATTTCCATTTTAGTGCTCATATGGGTCCTTGTAAGGATGCAGATTATTCTTAGCCTTTGCAGAACTGACCAGTAATAGAAAGTTAGAAACCATATATGGTGGTGTTATCTGTTGTCAGGGATTTAAATAGCGGTTTTAGTGCTGTCTGAAACTGTTATTGTATGACTGTGATAGTCGCAATAACTATAATAGCACTCATTATGTCCGTAATAACGATAAATGCAACCATAATCCTTGTTCGTAGGTTAGCAGGAGTATTTTGGGTTAGTTTGAGATAGCAGAATGCTTGGTATTTCACTTTATTTCTCGTTTGAGAATCCCTTTTGAGTGACTATTGTTTTACCAAAAAATCGGCTGTTTTGATGGTGTTTCTAGATTTGCTTGTTTTAATGGAAAATGAAAATGGTAATCAAAGTTGAAAAAGGAAAGAAAAGTGCAATCGCTTAAATGATCGCTTATTCAATATAATGAATTGAATGTGTTATAATTAATTATTATAAGTACCATTTTTTATTAAATAATTAATTTTAAAATAATTATGATTTTATTTTGAAAATTTTTGATTTGTTTAATTTGAATTTTAGAGTCGCCATCGACCTTTGGGTCAGATAGGTCGAATACCTAAAAATGTATTTTAAAATAATTTTAAGAAAAATCGTTTTCTAAAACAAAAATTGATCTACATATTACCATAAATTCATTTTAAGGATTTAAGAGTCGATTATGCATGGGGAAGGATGGGCACCCCACAACGCCCAAAATTGACACCCTTGATTATACGTTTTCTAAAACGATGAAATTTTACATATTTAAACTCAAAATTTAAGTTAGGATCCTTCTATTTCTACGAGTTTAGAACAAATGAGTGAATCTCTTTTAAAATATTCGACCCAATGAAAAATGATTTAATTCACTCGATGTTATTTAAGAAGGATGTCTTCATACTACGTGAATTAACGGAAATTAAAATTCAGTTATGTTGGACGTAATTTTGTTAACTCACGACGCAAAACAATATTGCTTTTGATTATTTTAGAAAACGAGAAAACAAATGCATGATTTATGAATGTAACACTAATAAATGACATATAAAAGATGAATGAAATATCAATAAAATATAATAAAACTAAACAATAATAAATAAATAAATAAAATAACAAAACAAAGGTAAATAAATACCTAAAATAAATAAAAAGGATCTTTATACTCATTAAAATAAATAGTCTCTTTTTCGAGAAGTTCTGTTGTGCGACGCCTAAAAAACGGCGTGACTAGTTAAACAAGTGACCGGTTAAAATTTAGACCGGTTATATTATATCATTTAACCGGAAATATTATCAAGCACAATAACACATATTAGGTAGCGCTTATATAATAAAATAGGCATTTAACCGGAAATATTATTAAGTACAATAACAAATTAGGTAGCGCTTATATTAACCTATTTTCTCATAAAACCGGTAATTTTAAACATGTTACATTATAAATTGACCTATTACATTATGTATATCGGTTTCGATATTTTCGGGATCGATACAATTTTAAATGTATCGACACTTTATGCGTGCAACTCGTTTGTGCTTTATTTTGGAAAAAAGTATCGACACATATTTAAAGAGTGTCGATACATAATGTAGACCTATTTGCTAATTAATCGGTATATTTTAACCGATTACATTGTAAATTTACATGTTACATAATAATTATCAATTTCGATGTTTCGAGGATCGATACTTTTTATAAATGTATCGACACTTTATGTGTACACCTCGTTTGCCATTCATTTTGGAAAAATGTATCGACACAAATTAAAAAAGTGTCGATATTTTATGTTGACATATTCTCTCATGAACCCGGTATATTTCTACCGGTTACATTGAAAATTTACCTATTACATTATAATTATCGGTCTCTTTGATTTTGGGATCGATACTTGTTATAAATGTATCGACACAAAATCTAATAGTGTCGATACTTTATGTTAACCTGTTTTATAATTAAACGGTATATGTATACTGGTTACATTGTCAATTTACATATTACATTATAATTATTTGTCATTAAAATAGTCTAATTTTACCACCTACATTGTAATTTTACATATTACTTTAAAGTTATTGAATTATGTAGTTATTGTACATACCTGAATATGTCCTGCAAATTTAATGTTGTACCCACCCTTCAACTACCACCACTACCAATACCACATCCTATTGAAAGCACCACTGAAACATGTTGTTCAATGAACCTTTACAT